TACTTTTTCGATCCCTTCATGCATTGCTACTCTTCTAATTACTTTTCTTCATTCTTTTGCTGCTGTAACTATTTCACTTTTAACCCCTATTATTTCTGCTACTATCTTGTCTACATGTTCTTCAAATTCTATTACTGACTTGCTTGCTTCAGCTAAAATTTCTTTACCATATTCTTCAGCTATTTTCTTAGTCATTCTCATCATTTCTTCTCTATTCCACATCTTCTTGATGACTAATTGGTCTGTGTATTTGATGCTAACTTCTAAATATACTTCTAAGAACTAATCTTCTATTTGATGTTTCTTAAGTGACTTCGCCTTTTTTCTAAAATTTCCTGGGTTTTTTCCTCTTTGCTAGTGAATTGTCTGATTTTAGTTATGTGTATTTGATTTCCAGTTGGTACTACATGACACATAAAATTAATCTAGAACGCGTTTATTTGTTTACCTCTTTTCATGTGATTGTATTATGTGAGGTGATCTACAGTACAGAGTATTCCCAATTCCCACTTTTTGTAGTAAAAAAGTTTTCGATAGACTAAATTATATTTAATCTACTTCTAGACTTTCTGTTTTCTTTTTAACTTCTTTTTCTTGGACTTAGATATATGTAATTTTGTAGTCTCTTCTCTTTTTCTTAAAGGCTCAACTATTGTTTCTTAATAGAAAATTGGTGTTTTTTAAGTTTTTCTTTCTGCTCCAAAAATGGTCGGAATAATCGATGGAGAGAGTTTTTGAGCTGAATAACTATTAAATTCAGAAATAATTAAAGTTAATCAAAATATTATAAACGTTTTAGAAAAATTTAATAATTTAACTCTCAGTATGTTTATAAAATAGGTTATTTAAGTTAATATAATTAATTACTAATTAATTATATAAAATTTTAATATAGAGTTAGATGGATGGACAAGTTCAAATAAAAAATTATTATAGAACTTCATAATTCTTACTTCTAGTAGATGAGAATATTTCTGAAAAATACTTAATTTATCTAGCCAAAGTCATACTAGTGAAACTTTACAAAATTGTATTCAACAAATTTTTAATGAGCTTGGCATAGATAAATTTGGAGCAATAGTTACTGATGGTGGCTCAAACTGTATACTTGCACGGCAATTAATTTCTGATCAATATCAACATATTTTAAATTTACGATGTGTTGCGCATTGTATGAATCTAATTTCTAGTGATATTTTAAAATGCAATTTTGCAAAAAAAATTCTTTATCAATGTTCTGCAATTGTAAACTTTTTCAATTCATCGTATCAATTACATTTTTTAATAATAAATAAAAATGTATATGGTGGTGGATTAAAATATTATACGAAAACTCGTTGGACTAGTGCATATGAATGTATATATTCAGTATATCGTTATAAAATAAATTTAGAAGAAGTAAGTATATTTATATTTTAAAATAATAATTTAATGATTGTTATATATAAAAAATTTTAATTTAATAATATATTTAAAGATTTTAGATCAAAATCCACATTTGTTTAATAACAAAACAGGCAAAATTATTAAAACATATTTAAAATCTCGTGGATTTTTTGATAATGTTTTAGATCTTTCAAAAGTCCTAAAGCCAATTAAAGAAACTATTATATGTCTTGAAAGCAAAACGACTAATTTAGCTAATTGCTATTTAGGTTATCTTAGACTAGCTATCGCTATTAAAAATATTTTTCAAAATCACTATTTAATGTTTTATCGAAAATATATTTCAATCTTTAATGAAAGGTTTCATATGTTTGACTACGATGAATATTTATTGGCATATTATTTACATCCTCAGTATCATAGTATGTAATTAATATTTAATTTATATATTTATTTAATTTTAATATTTAATTTATTTATTAATTTTAATAAAAATTTTTATTTAAAAATTGTAGGCGCTGGAATTAAGCAATCACAATTTGCTCATATAGCTGGAATTGCAGGCCGTTTATGGACTCGAATGACAAAATCTAATGCAAAAAAAAGTGATATAGATATTTTGAAAGCACAATTACGTCAGTATGCTTGTAATGAGGAGCCTTATAATGGGTCTTATGTATCAACTATTGATAGCCTAATTCGATGGTGGAAGACTACTGGAGATGGTACTAAAACAAAACCCGGTGCTCTTTCCTTATTAGCAATTAAATTATTTTCAGTACGTCTTTATACTGTGAGTTATGAGCGTGTATGGTCATGTTGTGGATAGTTTTTAGGTAATCGATGTAACAATTTAGAAACAAAAAATCTCGAATCAATGGTAAAAATAAGTTCTTATTTAATGTCAAATACTAAACAAGAACTATATTATTATGGATTAGATTTGACAGAAAAAGAAATTCAAACTGTTTTTCAAGATATTACTTTGTTCTCTGAGGTTAATGATAAAGAGAATTCAGATAATTTTGATAATTCTGATAATTCTGATAATTCTGATAATTTTGATAATTCAACTGATTTTGCAAAATCTTATCGATCCTGAAATTGAACATCAAGATTTGGAACTTGAAAATTTTATAGAATTAAATAATGTAGAACAAGATGTTGATGATGAGAATATAGATAAAAATACGGATAAAAATATAGATGACGAAGAATTCAATATTGAAGAATTTGATGAAAACCAATTCGGTGCAGAGGTTAAAGAGTTAATATATAGTACTCAGTAATTTTTTTATATTATTGTTAGCAAATAATATTTTATTTTTAAAACCAAAATAAAATTTTTTTAAAAAAAACAATGATTTTAGTACTTTGTATTATTATCTTTTATATTAGTTTAAAATTGATCAATAATCAATTGACCTATAAAAAAAAGTATTTCGTATATGATATGAGTTAATATAATAAATGTATAATAGTATATAAAGATATTTTTACAGGATAAAATGATATATTT